GCAATCCACTCACCTCAGCCTCCCAAAGCGCTGGGATTACAGGCTGAGCCACCAACCCCGCCTGAGGCCCCGGGTTTGAGACCAGCCTGGGCAACTTGGTGAGGCCTCATCTGTAAATTAAAAAAAAAAACAACACAAAAAACTAGCCAAGGTTGGACGCAGTGGCTTAACCTGTAAATCCCAGCACTTTGGGAGGCAGAGGTAAGAGGACTGCCTGGGCTCAGGGGTTTGAGACCAGCCTGGGCAACTTGGTGAGACCTCATCGCTACAATTAAAAAAAAAAAATAGCCAGGGCCGGGCACGGTAGCTAAGCCTGTAATTCCAGCACTTTGGGAGGCCGAGGCGAGTGGATTGCCTGAACCTGCAGGTTCGAGACCAGCCCGGGCTGCTTGGTGAGACCTCATCTCTACGATAAATAAAAAACCTAGCCAGGCATGGTGGCGTGCGTCTGTAGCTCCAGTTATATGGAAGGTTGAGGCAGAAGGATCACCTAAGCCCAGCAGGTTGAGGCTGTGATGGCCGCAAGCGTACCACTGTACTCCAGTCTCAAAGTGACTCAAAAAAAAAAAAAAAGAAAAAAGAAAAAAAAAATGCCTGGGCATAGTGGTGTGTGCCTGTGGTTCCAGCTGCTGGGAAGGCTGAGGCGGAAAGATTGCTGGAGCCCAGCAGGTCGAGGCCACAGTGGCTGTAAGGGTGCCACTGCACTGCAGTGTGGGCGACAGAGTGACACTCCGACTCCAAAACACAAGACAAGAAAACAGACACGGGCCCAATGGGAGGGGGCAGCCCCTCAGACCCCATTCCGCCTCCAAACTTGGCAGGAGGAATGAGAGGAGGGCATTTCCCCTGGGTGCCCAGGGGGTGGCGTGGGGTGGAGCAGAGGCCGGCGGCAGGGCGCCCTCCCTCTCTGCCCTGGCCTGTGCTGGAGGCGAGGCTCTGGGCCTGTGCACCTCTCGTGAGCCCAGGAGGTGCCCAGAGAGCCCTTATTCTGGCGCCCGGCACCGCGGGGGCTGGGAAGCAGGCCGTGTCACGTCCCCATGCCGCTGCGGCGCGGGGGAGCCGCCTGGCTGCTGCTCCCTGGACGAGAAGCACCGCTCACGGGTGCGATGACCCTGCTGAGCTTGCCGCCGTGCCCTGGGCCAGGGGGTGCCGACCATGCGAAACACTACTGGCGCCCCATCCGGCACCCCCGCTCAGGACTCCTCTGGCCAGCAGGCCCCCAGCCTCCCGAGGACCCAACCCCACCCAGCCGGCACCCTCCCAGGGGGGCGTGGGGTCTGGGAGTGGGGGAGGCTTTGGACCCTTCTGCCCTGGAGCACCGGGGTGGACAGACATCTGTGCTTTGCAGACACACGCGGCCGCAGAAGGGTCAGCACCACCGGGACGCCTGAGCCCCTGCTCTCCCGGACCAAAAGCCGGGCTCTGGGCGGTCCTCGGTCCCCGGGCCCGCCTGCTCCCCGCACGCAGGACAGGCGTGTTCCCAGAGCTTGTCCCGCTCCCAGCCGCCTCCTCTGCTCAGAAACCCCAGAAAGAGGCCCGGCGGCCGCCCTCTTGGCTGAAGCCCAGGACTCCACTTTCCCATTCAGGGGATCCTGTCGAGCCCTCCTGACCTGCAGGGAGAGGGCCATGAGGCGGCCTCCCCTGGAGGGCAAGCAGGTGCCGAGGCAGGGTGGGTGGGTGGCGGGAGGGGTGTGACTCCGAGGCCCCCGCTCTGCAGACCACTCTGGACATCCTGTCGGACAACCAGAAGGGCGTGGCCTTCGCCGACTATGGCTCACACTGGCAGCTGCACCGGAAGCTGGTGATGGCCACCTTCGCCCTTTTCAAGGACGGCGACCAGAAGCTGGAGACGATCAGTGAGTGGGGCTGGGCTGGGGCTCGTCCGGACTTGGGGCTGGGCTGGGGGCTGGGCTGGGCTGGGGCTGCACCTGGGGCTGGGGCCGGGGTTGAGGCTGGGCTGGGGCCGGGTTGAGGCTACGCCGGACCTGGGACCTGGCACTCGGACTGGGGCGGGACGTGGGAGGGAGCCCGCTCAGGCCGGGCGCCTGGGGGGTCCGGGGAGGGCAGGTGTGCGGGCCTCCGTGCCGCCTTTTCTTGGCTCCTGCTGCCACCTCGTGGCCACCCGTGGTCTGTCCCTGCCCCAGTGGAGAAGACCGAGGGGCGCGGGTCCACGGCCCGCCCTCACGCCTGTGCTCCCCGCAGTCTGCCAGCAAATCAGGCCGCTGTGCGACATGCTGGCCACCCGCAGCGGACAGTCCGTGGACCTCTCCCTGCCTCTCTTCCTGGCCATCACCAACGTCATCTGCCTGATATGCTTCAACTCGTCCTACAAGGACAAGGACCCCGAGGTGCAGGTCATCCAGACTTACAACGACGGCATCCTGGACACGCTGGGCAGGGACAGCCTGGTGGACCTGTTTCCCTGGCTGAAGGTGAGGCCCTGCAGGCCCAGGCCAGTCCTCTCCCGACAGCCTCAGCCCCCAGCTCCATGCCCTCTGCCTCTCAGGGCGGCCGCTGCTTCTCCGCAGACACGGGTTAGCCTCCGAGTCACGGGTCCGATGCCCCCGATGAGGATCCCTGTTTGTTCTCCCGCCACCATGTGCCTGTGCCGAGCATCCTCGAGTCTCCGTGGTGGTGGGTTTTACTGTCCACACTGTGCAGAGAAGAAAACAGACCTGGCAAGGCTAAGGAACTTGCCCAGGGCCGGGCACGGGGGCCTCATGCCTGTATCCCAGTGCTCTGGGAGGCTGCGGAGGGAGGATCACTTGAGGCCAGGCGTCTGGGGCCAGCTGGGCAACGTACAGACCCCGTCACTATAAAAAAGAAAAGACAGAAAAAGAACTTGCCCACAGCTTTGGTGTGCTGTCTGTCTTCCCCCAAGGGCTGGGCAGTGGCAGTCGGCGCTTGACGCTGATGGCCGGCTGAGGAGACAGGAGGCCTCTCCCTCCTCCCTTGTTTGGACCTGTCCTTGCTGCATGGCGGCCCCCTGCTGTGTGCCGGGGGTGGAAGGGAGACTTTGCCAGAGACGGCCAGGACCCACCCCAGATGAGGGTCCGGTGGCTGCAGAAGCAACACGGAAGAGGGACAGATCTGACATTCTCTTTACTCCCCAGATTTTCCCCAACAAAACACTGGAGACGTTACGGAACTGTGTCAAGTTACGGAATCATCTGCTGAAAAAAATACTGGAACAATACAAGGTGGGTGATGGGCAGAGAGGACCAGCAGGTAGGCTACGTGTCTGGAGAGTAGGGGAGGAGGGTCCATTCTGCACACAGTCGGATCTCCAAAGCCTAGCACCTGGCATGCAGTTGGTGCAGCAAACACGTGGACCGAATGGCTGGGCTCTGTGGCGCACACCTGTCTCCCTAGCAATTTGGGAGGCCGAGGCAGGAGGATCGCGTGAGCCCAGGAGTTCAAGACCAGCCTCAGCAACACAGGGAACATTTAAAAAAGCAGCCAGGCAGGGTGGTGCACGCCCGTGGTCTCAGCTACGTTGGAGGCTGAGGCGGGAGGATCACCTGAGCCCAGAAGGTCGGGGCTAGGGGAGCTGTGATCGCGCCCTCCAGCCTGGGCGGCAGAGCGAGGCCCGACCCAAAGCACACAGAAGGCCGCGAGCAATGACCGGTGCGGGTGGGGGGTCGAGGCACCGAGGAGGATCCCAGAGGGAGGGCCCCGGCCGGGCGCGCCGCGTCCGTCCTGACCGTCCGCTCCGCCCAGGGCAAGTTCAGCAGCGACTCCATCAGCAACATGCTGGACGTGCTGATCCAGGCCAGGATGAACGCGGACAACGCCGGCGCCGCCCAGGACCGCGGGATGCTTTCCGACAGGCACATCCTGGCCACCGTAGGGGACATCTTCGGCGCCGGCGTGGAGACCACCACCTCCGTGGTCAAGTGGACGGTGGCCTTCCTGCTG